GTGTTATTTTCCCAACATATATCTGGATAGTTGAAGTCCCCCATCATCACCAAATCATGGGCTTTGGATGATTTTGTTAGTTGTTTAAAAAAAGCCTCATCTACTTCTTCCACCTGGGTAGGTGGCCTGTAGTAGACTCCTAGCATGACATCACTTTTGTTTTTAATCCCTTTTAGCCTAACCCAGAGACTCTCAACATTTCCGTCTCCTATGTCCACCTCCACCTCACTCCAAGTGTGTTCATTTTTAATGTATAAGGCAACACCTCCTCCCTTTTTTCCTTGTCTATTCTTCCTGAGCAAACTGTACCCTTCTATACAAACATTCCAATCATGTGTATTATCCCACCAAGTTTCTGTGATGCCAACAATGTCATAATTGTACTTATTTATTAGCACTTCCAGTTCTTCCTGCCTATTTCCCATACTTCTCGCATTTGTATATAGGCATCTAAGATCCTGATTTGACCTTGCCTCCCAGTTTTGCCCTGACCCTCCTTTCTCTCTGCCATTGTAGCCCACACTCCCTCCCATTTCCGACCCATCTCCCAGGTCTCCATGTTCTCCACTTACCTGTGGGCTTTGCTCAATTGTCCCTGTCAAACCTAGTTTAAAGCCCTCCTCATTAGGTTAGCCATTCTGTGTCCAAATAGGGTCTTCCCCCTCCTCAAAAGTTGGACGCCATCCCTGCTTAGCAGTCCTTCCTGGAATAGCACCCCATGGTCGAGGAAGCCAAAGTCCTCCTGGCAATACCATCCTCGCAGCCAGGCATTCACCTCCAGGATGCACCTGTCTCTGCCCAGGCCACTACCTTCGACAGGAAGGATGGAAGAGAATACCATCTGCGCTCCAGACTCCTTCACCTGTACTCCCAGAGCCCTGTAGTCACTCTTGATTCGCTCAGTGTCACACCTCGCAGTATCATTTGTGCCCACATGGATGAGTAGCATGGGGCAGTAGTCAGAAGGCTGGATAATCCTCCACAGTGCCTCCGTAACATCTTGGATACGGGCCCCAGGCAGACAGCATATCTCCCGAGATGAAATTTCAGGGCGACATATGGACGCTTCCGTCCCCCTCAGAAGAGAGTCTCCAACCACCACTACCCTATGTTTCCTATTTGCAGTGGTGGCAGAAGACCTCCCAGCCTTGGGGGTATGGGACTTCTCCTTCTCCGGAGTAGGGGGTGATTGCTGATCTCTTGTATAAAGAAGAGCATAATGGTTTCCTAGTACCATGGTGGGAGGGTTCGGAGCAGGAGTGGAGCAGTGCCTGCTGCCAGAAGTAACCAGCTGCCACTGTCCACCCTGAGCCGTCTCCTCCTCCACCAGCGGTGTGTCCTCAGTCCTGTGTATCGGGACAGCTACCTCAGCTGTCTCCTCATGAACACGGTCCAGGAATTTCTCATGGATGCGGGTGCTCCTCAACCTAGCCACTTCTTCCTGTAGCTCTGCCACCTGCTGCCTGAGAGATTGCACCAGCAGACACCTTTCGCATTGGATGATCTCCCCAGCCTGGATATCAGTAAGTGGGAATTGCAATCCACAGTCCCTGCAAAACCACACCAGGATCTGGGTAGAGGCATCCATGCTCAGGTGCTGTCTGGCTACAGGCGCTGGTGGAGGAGACAGAAGCAGTGCTGACACAGGTGTTGCGGGTCTTCCTGACCATCATAGGCCTCCCTCTGCCAAACTCCCTCTCAAACTCCCCTGTCTGCAGCTCCTGTCCACTTTGCTCCCTGGTCGCTCTCTGCCTCTGGCTTTTAAAGCCACTTTTAAAGTACTGCAGCAACCTGATGACACTGGAGTTACAGGATGTTTCTCCTTTATCATGTGTCTATCCTCACTATAATCCCACATGACAAATGGTACAAAAGAGAACACCTTGTTTTTAAATTAATCTCCTTAACATCTAGAAACATGAATCGCCAAACAAAATCTGGACAGTTGTCGGATTGTAGTTAAAGAAATCCACATCTCCACTATGGCTAGGTGGGGAAGCAGAAGTTGGCTGAGCGAAGGGGTTTGTGACTGTGGGGCCTATTTCCGTTCCTGTATCCATTCACACATCTTAGCAGAGTTTCTCTGGGTGGTGTCTGCTGGCTTCTTTAATGCTTTCAAGGAGAAATGGGTGCTGTCCAGGGCTCTCTGCTCTGTATCCCCAAAATGGGCGCTGTCCAGGGCTCTCTGCTCTGTATCCCCATCAGTTCCCTTGTTTGAGCCCTTTGACCTTCACTCCTACATCTGTTTTTCTTTTTATTTGTCACCCAGAATTATTTGGTGTCCTGGACCCAGGAGATCCTCACCATAGGCTGGACCCCCATAGGACCAGGGCGAGGTGGCTCATGTGCACTAACAACACAACAGAAAACCTCTCCAAGAATTGGGCATTTCTTTACTGACTCCATCTTATGCCTCTATTGGCCTGAACCTATGAAGTAATGAGGACCTTGTGTGTGCTGGTAACCCCAACAGACAGAACCGAACCTGGGACCTCTGGAGCTTAGTGCATGAGCCACTACCACCTGAGCTAAAAACCAGCTGCTTCTCAGCTAATGCTGTGTAGAGCAAACTCATTTTTTTCTTCTCTCTCTCTCTCTCTCGTCTAAGTGCCACTACATGGGAAAGTACACCACACCCAGTACATGTGTGGTTTACACTGAGAGTGCTGTATACTCTATCATTAGGAAAGCTATGCAACAAAGTCCTGATATCCCACAACATACTCTTCTCAACAAAAAGGAAACTTTCTAAATGCTTCTGTGCTCACATTGCCCCTCTATGGCTAAGAGACCTGGATCCCACACAAATGGCATATTAAACAGCTAGAGGCCTTTCATTTGTGTATCATCATGGGGACACTCTGGCAGGATAAAATTAACAACTTGGAGGTTCTCTGTAAATCAAATGCCACAAGCATTCAGTCCATGCTGATAAAAGCCCAACTGTACTGGACTGCACATATCATTAGGATGCCTAAACATCAACTCCCAAGAACATTTTTTTATGGGAACTGGCACAAAGACATCAGAATCAAGGCCGCCCCATAAAATGGTCCAAGGAGAGTATCAAGAACAGCATGCACTTTGGTGCAGTCAAACTAGAGGATCTTGAGAAGGCTTCATTAAATAGATCAGCACTCAGAGCTTTCCAAGTCTTTGAAGAGGAAAGAAATTCTGTCAGCTGCCAGAGAAAAGCATCATACCCTTGCTATAAGTACCAAGATGCTCATTAGTGACTTTATCTGCCCAACATGTCCATCATGCTTTGAAGTTCAGAATCATTCCAGAATCCACAAAAAGAGATAGTATGAAAATGTCATAATCAATCAGATAAACTCCACACACATACCTATCTAAGCCTATGAATACTCATGATATGCCACACTTTGCAGTATTGAGATAGTTTTGACCATCTGTGTGCTAGAACAGTGATTTAAAGCACCTTCTGTTGTCATTATTAGCTGCTCATACTGCAAGAAAAGTTTGAACACAGGAAGTGAATGGAATACAACAGTTTGCCAAGAAACTATTCCATTGTGTGACTCTGCTGATATTTTACACTATGAGAGCAGAGCTTCCAGAAATCTTGTGTAAAGGTTAACCTCATGAAGGTCTGATTGCCTCCATGTTAATTTGAACAAAGGCCAAACCTGAAATCTCCCAGCTAACCCACCCATATTCTAAGCCAGGGCAATTTAACTTTGGAAGCTCCGGGAGCCACGATGATACTCATAGCACATGCTAAGGGCAGCAACTTAAGTGTGGTAGCATATACATGCAAATATATACGCAAATATATACAAATAGCTTCTTTCACACTGACGGGCATGAATACAAAGTTTAAGGCAAGACTACACAACACACAGGCCCCATTTAAATCAGTTCTGCTGATATTAATAAAGTGCAATATTTACCTGATTTCTGCCCATATGACAGCACTTTTAATGAGAAATGACAGTTCAGGAATTTAACTACTAAAACGCATATTAACAGAAGACCATTATATTGACTACTTTTTTTGTTTTGGCTCCACCCGTGGGCCGCATGTTGAGTAGCCCAGTTCTAAGCCATCATTCTCTTATGAGAGGTGTTTTCTTATTTTTACTGGTGGTGTAAAAACTCAAAATTCTAAAATGAACAAAAGCTGCGTCATGCTATTATTGCATCATCAGCAATGAGCGCCCAATAATGTATCTCAGTGACTGAGCAATATTTGCCACCAATGTGTCCCATGCACATTCACATATGACATGACTACTGTTTATTAGAGCCTGACAGTATTTAGCTGCATCAGAGCAGCACAAGCAAACTGTTACCAACTTATTTTTAATAGCACCAGTGGTGCTATGTGTAACATAGATCTAACAATAACAATCATCAACAGCAGCCACCTCCAAAATAACAGAGGCCCGAATTCTGCTCAGAAGCCTCGGGGAAACATTCATCCTAAGTATAACTTTACTGATAATGCATTTCCTGAGGAGTTACCATGAGCGTACGAGGGTGGAATTTGACTCCGCTTCTCATGCACAGCCTAGAATTCGGGTGCCTACACACTCTCTTTTGAGTTCATAAAGTTGTGAGAGTTTAAGCTAGTGGGTAGCTGTTTAAATTCTGTGCTATCACATTTCAGAGGCAACCATACTAATGCATACATCTCACATATTCTGCATGTACGTTGAGGAAAAAGATAATGCAACAAAACTGAAGGGACAGATGTAGAATATAGAATTTAAATGTTAAAAAAGTGAAAGGATGATTTAAGTGGCAGCTAAGTAGTGAGGACTACAGCAACTGTGAAGGTAAGGCACTTACTCCGAATGGTGAACCATCTGCTTTCTAATGAAAACAACCCAACTTGTCAGCAACATCTAGAAAAAATGATTTCTTAGTCTGAGCATGTAACTGAGGAAAGTAGCTTTTTTGCTATATGAGGTAATACACTCGAATGATGTATGACTTAGATAATAGTGCGGGTTAATGATCTTCAGCTGGATCAGGGAGTAAAACAAAGTAATTTCATAATACAGAGCATGATGGATTAAATCATGTTAATACTGGGTATATACATTAAAGAAAATGATCTTTCTGGCATACTAAATGGCAAAATAAAAAGCACTTTTAGTAAGTTATATGATTAATTAGTCTGCCCTTTTATTTATGTACCATGATAAAGTAAAATGCACTACTTCTGGTTACCTCCTAGGCAATTATTCTAAAACTTGTATTAAATGTACCAGCATCGCTGCATTGTACCAGTCAATCAGGGACACCAAAGTATGTCCCTGTCTTTGTTATAAGTAAGGGATTCCCTCCCTCCCCTTTTAATTTAAACAGGAGTGAGCTCACTCCTTCCTAAGGTTTCTAGAGGGCTTTTCAACGTGAGAACATGATTTTGATCTCAATACAAAATTGGTCTATGTTTGAGATGATTAATTAGCGTCTCTGTTAAAGAACTAGTAGTGGGTAGTAAGAACTGGAATTCATTCAAGTCAGGGTTTAAATGCCCAGTAGCCTCAGAAACAATTATGGGTTGACCAGAGAACTGGTCTGATTTTAAAATACTCACATGAAAGACAAGTCATTTAAAAAATTATTAAATTTGGAACAGTAACCTGTTAGCCTAGTGAGGGAAACTTTGAAAACTTCCCCCATCCACAGTTTTCATAGAGGTGGTCAGTACTACCACTAGGTGTTCTAATCCTGGGTGTCTCTCTAACAGAGTTCACCAATGCTTTTTGCTATTGTTTGGCTTTTTTTCCCTCTGGAAATGGGATATGAATTCTGTTTGTAGTGAATATATATGAAAACCATGGAAAATGTAAATCCATGTGTTTTAACCATTTGTTTTAACATCTGCTCATTTGAACAATATGCCTTTAGCAAAGGAAACTTTGTCATCAAGTTTCACAATGTGACTTTCCACAGGATCTCATTTTGGCAAGTGAGAGTACATTTAGATGGTTAAAGTTAAGGGCCTTTCATTCTCCCTACAGCATTTTCACTATGTTTAATTTTAATCAGCATTACAGGGTGATTCACATGCACTGAGTAAGTCTCTCAATTTTCTATGTCCAGTGGAATAAGAGAAAAAGACCCTGAAACTTTCCTGTTTACAGTAGATCTCACCAGTGTTGTTCTTTTTGATTAAAAGAGCAGAATGATTCTGTGTATCTGGATTAAATGCTACTATTTATAGCTGAAGAAATCCTCCGACCTTTAACCAGAAGGCTTTCAGAAGATGCTAATTCTAACAGAACAGTAACAAATAGTGGGATGTATGCAGTGGTTATCACATTTGTAGATAACATCTCACGTGGAAATATCTGGTTTTTTGTCTGACAAATTTTTTCAGTTTTGTCTTAGAAATTTATTTTAATAAGGACACTATAGATATTGGGTTAATTATTCGCATATGTTTCTAAGAGCCTTTGAGACTTGGAAAAATAGAGTAAAATTGACAGAAAAATATACAATAAAACTGGATTTATGTTTCATAAGTAAAAAAAAAATTGAACACCCAATGGTCTAATTCATTCATTGCAAAATATAAAGAGATTTTAAAGACATATTAGCAGAAATTCTTTTATGAAAAGGAAATTAACTGCTGAAAGCAATGGCATTAAAATATGGAAGATGGGTGAACTACATGGGAGAGTGGAGAAGTACAGCTTCTGAGGCATATGAAGTGTTGGTCTAAAATAACTTTCAATTGTTGTTACCTTTTAGACTTTGTAGGAAATAACACAGTGCAGAAGTGTGACTTTAAAATTAGCATTTGAAAGTGCCTGTGAGGTAGGTGAGGGTTTTTAACAAACAGTGGGGTTTGAACCTAAAATTACATTAATTTATTTGCTGCTACAAAATTAGGTATATTAGTTATTATTCAAACTCATTTGTTAAACAAAAGAAAACCCTTTATATTATATAAAAAACAGCATAGCAGGCACTCCTTGTTGTCCATTACTGTTGACAAGACTTGGCTAGAAATGCAAGATATGTATAAAGAGTAATTTTGTCTCATTAAACAACAACACTAGTGGTTCCTCTTCATCTCTTTAATTCATTTCTTATAGTTTTTCTTGTCACATCCACTTGTTTTATGGCTTACTAACGTGCAAGTTATGGTTGTAATTTATGGTCAAAATTGAATGGTAGCAAATCACAGAATATTTTCATTGATTACCCTAAATTGTCTAATCTCCTGTATGTTTTTAGGACTTGATTGGGTGGTATTTACTGATTGCCTTCATCTAATTTAAAAATCAATCAATAGCAACAATGAGAGGTGGTGGATAAATCGAGTCTAGTGCAGCATAACTGCAGCAAATATCCATCAAAGGCTCATTCTCAATCAAATTTGTGGGAAGTTTTAATACATAAGCCAAAATGTCTAAAAGCTTTACTTCTAGAGCATATCATTTTAAAATTGTGCTCTGCAGCATGACATCTTATTGCTCTTATGCTGTCTATTTAGGGTGATTTTCCACTGCTAAAATGAACGTATTTCACTACAATAAAACTGTAGCAAACAAGAAAAAAATGTGATCAGCTTTGGTTTAAAGGCACTTTGTTCCATCTTCCTCAATATTATCTGTGTATAATAATGGAAATTAACATATCATCAGCTTCTCTTATAAACGGTGTGCATTTTCCCAGAGATAAACATTCTAATAAGTGTCTTGATGGGAAATATGTGTTCTACATGGAGAAATCAATTAATTAAGGTTGTTCCTTACATTGTTGTATTTTGTGTGTGTGTGTGCACATTATTTAGTCCTTAAAGTTTATTATGGCACATATGAAAGAAGGAATTTAGAAGACAGCATGTTAACTTCTTGGCACTGTCAGTGCAGAGACTCATCGTGAAGTGAGACAGGCTTTTGTCTGCTTTTGGATTTTATTTTTTAATTCACCAAGGCACCAAGAATTTAGAGTGCCTATTATTCAACTTCCATGAGAAAACAGTAAACAAAATATCCAATTTTTATTTATGAACTGTGGAGCAGATCCTGTTTTGGTGTAAATGGGCACAGCTGCTTTGAAGTCAGGTGATTGAAGTTGGAGTTCTATTGATCTGCACCAGCAGAGGAGCTGGCTGAGCGGTGTGAAAGAGTGGAGTTTGTTTATGCTGGTATCTAATGTTAGGAGGATTTTAAACTTTACTTGAAAGCATGGATAGCAGCAGCATTTACTCAGTAAATACTGAAAGCAGCTAAGGATATTCAGCTTTGAATTCTGAACAACACATGCAATGTGAAGCTACACACTGCTTATGTCAGAGGTTCTGACCTGTTGTGTGTGCACTGCTGGTGACAGGTGGTGAAATGGATGGAAAGAAATGTGCTCCTGTTTTGGCTCTGCTATTATTTCAGTATTACCATCAAAGATGCCTATAGGCCAGACAGGAATTCTTGTATGTTGTATTTAAATTCAAACAAATAATTACTAATTGAGCTGGAATCTTGGGGCCAAATTCTGGGTCACTGTATGGCAGCTCAGAATTTCACCAAAGATGCCTACTGAGAAGTATTCAGAAAGCAAAAGGCCATCTCCATGTGCACACATTAAGAAAGTGCAAACAGGTTTAGATAACATTTGAGAAGCATCTGAACCAAAATCCTGGACATCTCCATATATTGGCACTGTTTGAATTTGATTCAAACACTACTGTCCACCCCTCTTTCTCTGACCCGGATCTTGTCAAAACCTAGGGATCTAATATCTTCCACTTTGCAGACATTTCTATCTGGATGCAGATAAAAAAAGATAGACCTCAGGCACATTTCTGCATAGAAGGAGAATTGCTCTGAAACTTCACTCAAACCTGAAATCCTACCATAACCCCTTTTTTATTCTGCTCAAGTTAGTTGAGCCAATATTTTTCTAAAAGAATATTTTCTAGTCTCACTCCTCTGCTGAGGATGTTTTTCTATGTGACTAAAGAAGGTGGTGATGATACTGCATTACTATGACAGAGCCTACTCTTGAAGATCTCCTGCACTTCCTAACCAGAAGCAGGAAGTGCAAGAGATCTCACGAGACAGCTTGTTCCCGTGAGATTCCCATTCTACACTGCAGGTTCAATAGCGGTGGATAGACTGAAGGAGGTTCAGATGAGCTTCCTGGCCTGATGTCATTTACATGAACCCCACACAAATGCCAGACCTTGAGAATCGACCTGCTCTCAGCACAAACAAGACAATGGGCGCAGGGTTAGGAAAGCACACAGTTCTGGAAAAAAAAACCCATTCCCACTGGAATAAATGTTAAAGTGCCCTTTGATGCTAAACATATGTAAAAAGTCCTGGCATCAACAACAGCTCACAGCACACGCTACCAATACAAAAGACAATCACCGAAGAGAACCCTACCAGCAGTCCACTTTTTATTAAAATTCTGACATTCTGAGAGATCTTCTTGCCAAGGGCCCTCTTACAATGACATCTGTACACTTGTCATTACATTGCAGTTCACATTACTTACATAAACATGCCACAGGGAAACCATGACTGAGATAATTTTTATAAGATTGAAAGGTAGCCATTATGATCATTAAAACAAACCTGAGAGAGCCTTCCTGATGATGGAATAGATTCGGTTACTTCTTCCTTCTCTGTGGGTCATTAGT